TTCTTGGGCATTGAAGTTGCTCGATCTAAGGATGGTATATTCATATCTCAGCGCAAGTATGTCCTTGATCTTCTTGCTGACACTGGTAAACTTGGAGCTAAACCCATCACCACTCCCATTGATCCTAATCAGAAGCTTTCTGCCACAGTTGGTACACCATTGTCAGATAAGGGAGTGTTTCAGAGACAGCTTGGGAAGTTGTTATACCTTTGTATGACTCGGCCAGATATTTCCTATGCAGTGAGTGTTCCTAGTCAGTTTATGCATTGTCCCAGAGATACTCATCTAGTTGCTGCAGAAAGGGTTTTGTGCTACTTGAAAGGTACTCCAAAGAAAGGTATTCTATTTGCTAAGCATGATCACATGAAGCTAGAAGCCTTTACTGATGCAGACTGGGCAGGATGTATTGATGACAGAAGGTCCACCTCTGGTTATTGTGCTCTGGTTGCTGGGAATATTGTGTCTTGGAGGAGTAAGAAACAATCAGTAGTTGCTAGATCCTCGGCTGAAGCAGAATACAGGGCAATGGCTCATAGTGTGTCAGAATTACTATGGCTACAATCCCTTCTAGAGGAATTGGGGGTGGATTACGAGCAACCAATGATGCTCTATTGTGACAACCAAGCTGCTATCAACATTGCACATAATCCAGTTCAGCATGACAGAACTAAGCACATTGAGGATGATAGGCATTTCTCAAAGGAAAGAGTCTCTTCAGGAGAAATCTGTTTACCATTCATCACATCAGAAGAGCAACTGGCTGATGTCTTGACCAAGGGAGTTCCCAAGGGGAAATTGACACACTATATAAGCAAGCTGAGCATGATTGACATCTATGCTCAACTTGAAGGGGAGTGTAAAGAGACTGGGCCGAATGGGCCCTAACAGCTTCTTATGCCATATCCTTCTTTATCTTTTATTTTATGTTGATGGGCCTCACTTGATGGGCCTGTTATTTGTTCTTATTTTATTTCCTTTATGTAACTGCSAAGYWGGCCGCCCACTTAAGGGTATACTTGTCATCATCAATTTGTTTTAGAATTTAATAAAATTAGGGTTAGAGGAGGAAGAAGACTAATTCGATTTCTTCTTCTCTTCTACATACACAGCTCTTGCACTTCCATTCAGATCTGATTTGTACTGTTAATCATTGATATTAAACCTAATATTAGAGGACTGATTCTCAACTGTGACAAATGAGACCACAGGAGAATAATCCCATGCTCCAAGACTGAACAGGAACTAAGGCAGATACCATAATGCTTCAAGCAACTTCAACAGTGTGTCTATTTTTTCTCTCAACCACCCCATTCTGTTGTGGATTATAAGTGCAACTGTTCTGATGTATAACCCCATGCTCCAAGAAATACAAGGTTAGAGACTTTTCAAAATACTCCCTTGCAGTCAAGGTAACTCAGGTCCTTCTGGCATAGGAGGGGTTGTAAGAGACAAGGAAATTCAGAACCATCTTTTCAGGACCAATGGGAAAAGGAGACCTTTTAAAGGCAGAACTATATGCAGCCCTACAAGGCACCTAGATTGCAAAAGAGTTGGGCGTGGAGAAGTTGGTGATAGAAGGGGACTCCAAGGTGGTGGTGGGTTGGCTAAAAGACATTCAGTGATTCGATGCTACAGAAATGAAATGAAGAAATTCAAATGGCTAATACAACAGAAGATTTTAACTATACAATGAATGGAAAGGGAGGCCAATGCACTGGCTGATTCTTTAGCTAAGCAAGGGGTAACAAGGGATCAGATGTACTGGGCCCATTTGTAAATATGTTGCATTTCTTTGTTAAAGAGTGAGGCTGCACCTCGCGCCTCCCACTGGGATGCTTGTAACAGATGTTATCCTTTGCTTCTAATGAAAACTGATGAAATTTATTTATCCAAAAAACTCCCTTGTATTTATCAGGACAGAAAAGTTTAAATCGCACACCAAACTGGGTAAGGATTGAATCATTGAACCACTATACAAAAGGCCACCCTCAACCCATCTCTGTTGCACCCAAGTTGTCTGGAAGAGTTACAACAACAAGGAGTTAACAACATGGTGCCTTCAACACCATGGATCTGGCACTTCATGCAAGGCCAAGGTTCAAAAAGAAAAGTAACAGTTAATTGGATACTACAAAATGCACCAGATCCACAGTTTTCATGGCACCATATTTAGATAGAAAGATGACCAACCATTGGCTCTAAAAACAAACCTGTAACGAGTGCCTGCTCATTTGAGTCTCCACATCAAGAATAGATACAACATTTTCCGCTGCAGCTGCAAGACACCTCCCAAGACGTGGTTGAAATCGCATCTGTGTTGTGCCACCCTACATAGAACACCAGAAACTACAAAATTAGTGAAAATGTTCATAAGTTTTACACGAAACAAAAATAAAAAACTAAGGAAATACTATTACATTAAATAAAAGTTTAAAAAACTAAAAAATAAGCAATTGTTTTATACCTTGAATACCCTAGCACAACTTCCATTGTTGATACTCCAGAAGCGTATCTCACTATCTCCATCACAAGAACAGATAAGATCCTCTTTATTTGGGTGGAAATCCAGTGACATGACAGAGGCAGAATGCCCCGTAAAAGTACGAAGAGAATAACCTGGCTGCGCAATGGATTCATGTATCAAGTGAAAATGATATCCAGCATGCAAAAGGAAAATGAGAAAAAATACAAAGAGGGGAAACCACCAACATGCTTGTGACATCAAAATCAAAGAATCCAAGGATAGCTAATACATGTTAATCATACACAAGAAAAAATTAGGATTTGAGCACCATAGTTAACAAGGAGTCCAGGTGATGATGGGTGACAGTGTGGCACCTAGTCACTTAGCTAGGCAGGCACCTAGATGATAAGAATTTTATAAAATAAAAAATATAATTTTGGTTAATTCCCTACATTTATATAACCATCAGTATGCATATTAGTTGAAAATAAATAGCAATTCTCTTTATTTGGAACAATGGATTTTCTTCAAAACACGAAAAACCATCAATATCCAAGTGAATAGTATGTTAAATATATGAACAAATTATAATAATATAACATTTAATAGAGTTTTTTTTCATCAACAATAGAGTAATTTCGTATAAAATATGAAGGCTGTAATTTTACATGTTAAAAGTTTAAGATAGAGATTAAGTAAAAGAGGAAAAGAACAAATCTATCAAAAAGGAGAGTAGTCGATCAAGACTACAGTCAGTCTTGAATTCCAACAGATTTCGGATTGAGAAGAGTAGAAAGAAGAGGGAGAAGAAAGGAGAAGAAGCAGAAGTACACAAGGGTTTTGAAAGGAAGGACAGATCGAATCAATCTGCCGCCACCACTCTCTCAATATTTATAGTTTATGTTCACTAAATGTAGGAAAGGACAGAATTGCCCTTAATGCTTACATGGAAAATAAAACAAATAAATAACTGAGATAACAAGCTGTCTAAGATAACTACCAACTAACACTGACAAACTAATCAAAGGTTACATGTGCTGTCATACGAACACAGTGGGGACCACAGCCATGGGGCCCACATCAGTGTTCTCTACACTCCCCTTCAAGTTGGGAATAGATATTTGTCATTCCCAACTTGAA